GTGCCTGACCTTGTCGTTTTCCCATGGAGCAAAATCACACTCTCACTCGTCCTAGTACTGATGTCGTGCCTGATGCTTCTTCTTATCGGCGTTTAGTGGGTCGTCTTCTCTATCTCACAGTTACGAGACCCGACATTGCTTACGCTGTTAATGTGCTGAGTCAGTTTGTCCATGCCCCTGGGCCTGAACACGTGACTGCAGCGAATCAGGTTCTCCGGTATCTCAAGACTTCTCCCGGTCAGGGCCTCTTCTATCCTGCTGGTAGCCCCTTGCATCTCTCTGCTTATTGTGATGCTGATTGGGGTGGTTGTCAGTCTACCCATCGCTCCACCACAGGTTACTACATCCAGCTGGGTTCTGCTCCCGTCTCTTGGCGGACTAAGAAACAGCGTGTTGTTGCCCGTTCCTCAGCTGAGGCGGAGTATCGAGCCATGGCTAGTACCGTCAGCGAGGTTGGATGGTTGCGGTTCCTTCTTTCTGAGCTGGGTGCTTCACAGTCTGATCCCGCGCCTTTGTATTGTGACAACCATGCCGCTCTTCACATCACTGCCAATCCTGTCTTTCATGAGCGCACCAAGCATGTCGAGATGGACTGTCATTTCGTCTGTGAACGTGTCGTTACCGGTGCTGTTACACCCCGCAAAATTGGCTCTTCCTCGCAGTTGGCAGATATGCTCACCAAGGCGTTGGGCGCGGATCAGTTTCATTTCCTTTTGTCCAAGCTGGGTATTCGTGATCTTCATGCTCCAGCTTGAGGGGGAGTGTTGGCCATAATTATTGTATCTCTTAGTAATTTCTATTTACTTTGGGTACTTGTTTGTAATTTCTATTGCTTCAGCTAATTACCCTAGCTACTTGTCGTTGGGTATTAGTAGGGCTTCTAAGCCTAGCAGCCGAACACAATTCTGGCGGATTTCTATTCTGCCGCACTATAGTGAAACTCATCTGAGAGCTCTCCTCTCCGTGGACTAGTCCCGTTATCGGGGAAACCACCTAAATCGTTGTGTTCTTTATCTTCCGCAGCTATTAGATTTTACATACGTTTACTAGGATGCTTGAGAATACCCAGATGCGACAAGGGGAAGTTGTGGCTTAGTCCTGAAATTGTTCTTCTGTTTGGTTTTCATTTTAACTGTTTTATAAAAATTACAAAAGGAACCTTGGTGGATTTTGAGAGACGGAGTGATTGATTTAGTAAACTATTGTTACATTAGCGTACCTAATATATTGCATCAGTTGAAAGATTTTTGAACTTCCTGCAACATCTTCTCCTTTGTCCATGTTGCTGTTAGTCAAGAAGCTGAAGGGATTTTGAACTTTCAAACCATATATAGAGCCAGGTCAGACCTGACATCCTCCAACGACACGCTTTCTTTACCGGCAATAAAAGAATCAACGAAATTCTCATATGAACTTGGCAAAGAACCAAGCAGGATTAGGGTAGCATCCTCGTCGTCAACTTGAACATCTATATTACGCAGATCCAGCAAAATAGAGTTAAGCTGTTCGAGATGTTCCCTCAAAGGCATACCTTCTTGCATCCTCAAGTTGAACAACTGTTGCTTGAGATGCAGCTTGTTGGTTAAGGACTTCGTCATATACAGACTCTCCAACTTTAACCACAAGCGCGCGACAGTCTTCTCAGCAGCGACTTCAATGATGACGCCATCAGACAACGATAGCATGATGGTCGAGTGGGTCTTCTCCTCCAGGGTATTCCACTCATCGTCATCGGCCGCTGCCTTCTTCTATTTCGCAGACAGCGGCCCCCACAACCCTTGTTGTTTTAATGAAGCCTGCATCTTGATTTGCCATATAGCGAAGCTGTTCTTCCTCGTGAACTTTTCGATCTTCATGTTCACCGACGTCATTCTTCTGTATCGAAAACCCTAGCCTGATTTCCAGCCGCGGCTCTGATACCACTTGTTATAAACGCGCTGCTACGGATTGGGAAATTGGTGGAATCCATAAAGCAAGAATACGAAAGCTAGAATCGAAAAACACAGACACACGATTTATGTGGTTCACTAACACGATGTGTGTTAGCTAGTCCACGGACGAGAGAGAGCCAGTTTCACTATATCGAGGAGATTACAGAGGTGTATGAGAAGTATTTATAGTACTTCTCCATGTGGGTCTAAACCTAATCAATCTGGCAAAGGAAACGGTTACAGACCAGGCCCAGAACCCGAACTCAAATAACATTGAGCTCATACACCGTGGGCCGGGGGCGTTGCCCCTAGACCCCACTCGCTGACCCCCGACTACCAGTCGTAGCGACTGATAGTCCGATTCAAGTCACATCAACAATCCCTACGACATGTATGAGTTGGCTGACCCGCCTACGGGTATAATCCCTTTGTTGCTGGATGATGCTAGAGGTGTCACCTTCGAGCCCCGAGTTGTGGCGAATTCTTCCTCCCTCATTTAATCTCCCCCTCTAACTGTTCTTTTTCTCGACGTTAGCCTCCTTCGTTATGCAAAATATATATATATATATATATATATATATATAATTGCAAAAGTTGATGATTTGATAGTGAGACTCACATATGAAATAAAAATTATATTTCATCTACAGTAGATGATTTAATTTGGGTTAATACCCTAGTTTGGCCTGAAGTTTAGCGTGAGTGACAGTTTTGGCCCCATTTTTCAAATAAGACATTTATGGCCTACTTTTAAAATTATTGGACAAATTTGGCCTGAAACTTGTGTTGACCGTTAATATTAACGGTCAAACACTTATTCCATTAGTGACGCATCAAAGAACTAGTGACGTGGCTTATACATGGTGCCATGTCATTAAATAAAATATTTCTTAATTTTCTAATTCAATTAATAAAAAAAATAAAAATAACCCCAAAACCCCCCAACCTCCTACGGTCCTACCCTTATCTCTTCCTCCCGTCGCCTCATTCCCACTGATTGAACCCCTTCTTCCGCCGAGACTCGCCTCTACATCCCCAGACGAGACAAAGAGAAGAGGAAGCTGCCAGTGTTGGTGTACTTCCACGCCGGCGCGTTCAAAGGTAAGACGCCGTCGGGGTGGAACGAGCGGCTGGAAGAAGATCTGCGGGGGCGCGGGGCAGGGCTTTTGACTGGGACTGGTTCCTTTTCCTCTTCTTCGTCCTCGACATGCGCTTCGACGGCCAGGGATTTTCAACGGGCGGCACCCAAATTGACTCTCTTTTCTTCTTTTTCCTTGTTCCTCCACCGCGGTCGCTGTCCCCTCAGATTCCACTCCGTCGTCGTTAAGATCGATGGATTCGAACCCGATTCAGGTTTTGTTCGTCTTCTCCCTCAGCCGAACGAACTGGTGGCTGTTCGTCTTCTCCCTCACACCGTCGCTGCTATAAACCCACCGCCCTTCAACTCTCTCTCCAACGATCCTCTCTCATTCCCCGATATCTGCTTCCTCCGCACCAGATCTGAGTTGATGGCGGCGATGTCGAGCTTTTTGTGGGCTCGATTGTCGACTAGAGAGAGGGAGGAGGTTGGTGGCGAAGGCGCCGGTAGGCCATCAATCGAGGAGAAGGGACCGCGACGACGATAATCGTTACCGTCGAGACCTGAACACCTCCCTCCTCCTACTCGCGTCGTCTTCTTTTGATGGTTCGTTACAAAACTCATCCACCTCTGGCGCTGGTCGGGATTTAAATTGGAGGAGCGATTTTGTTGATTTCCCCTCTGTTTGACAGGGGTGAATTACTTCCTTTCTCAATGACGTCGAGGGCACCATCTATCACGGCGAGGGAGTGGGTTTTGGCGATTGGAGGTTTGTCCAAGAGGAGAGTGGAAAAAGTCTTAGGGAAAAAATATTTATATATTTAATTAATTTTTATTTTTTAATTTAATAAATGATAACGTTTAAGATCCTAGTCAGCACCAAATACTGAGTCACTAACGGAAAAATCATTGACCGTTAATTTTGACGGTCAATTTAAAACCCATGCCAAATTTGTCCAATAATTTGGAAAGTAGGCCACAACTGTCTTATTTGAAAAATTGGGCCAAAACTGACATATACGCCAAACTTCGGGCCAAACTAGGGTATTAACCCATTTAATTTTGGGGATTGCTATTCGTCGCCCTAAAACTCATTATTCGTCGCCCTAATTATGTTAAATTTACTTTAATGTCCTTAATTTATTTTTGTCTTTCGGAACACTTAAACGCTAAAATTGAATCAATAAAAAAAAATTATCCAATACAACCCGTCCGGGCTCGCCGGCTGCGCGGAAGAAGTGTCGCCGGTAGTGACCGGTCATCTACTTGAACTTCTTGGGCTTTATCTCCATCTGGTCACTACTTGGCTGCTTTGTACTTGAAAGAGTTTTCGATCACTACTTGAACTTGACAGTGAAAGCTTCCCCTGCCTCCCATTTCCCTTTACTTCTTCCTCTTAATGCTCTGTCGCCGCCGCTGTGTTTCCAAAAAGCAGCAGCCGGTCAGTGGGTTGGGGGAACGGCAGCGGCGGATTGGGGAATCGATGTCTTACACACTGCAGGCCGGCGAATTGGGAGATTCGCAGCGGGTGCCCAGCACTCGGACCACTTCCTCCTGCTTCTTCTTTCTCCTTCCTCAGCAATTGCACCGGGTCGGCGGATTGGGGGAATCGCCACCGGTCGACTTGCTGGGGGAATGGCCACGACAGAGAATCCGGCCGGTGCTATTCTTTCTCCTTCTCTGCAATGGTAGCGGGTCAGCAGCTGGGGAAAAACAACGATGGTGGGTTGGGGGAACGGGAGGTGCGGCAGGTTGGGTGAACGGTGGCGGCGACGGCCTGAATTTGGCTGGTGGGAGGAAGTTAGGGGTTGGGGATCGATTTTGTAAATAAGGGTATGAACGTCAATGTAATATGATTTAGGGCGAAAAGATTTAAAATTTAGGGCGACGAATAGCAATTCAGTTAATTTTTCCGAAAGAACTTTGTTTCAGTTTTTTTTCTTCCTATAATCAAACTTCTATTATTTTATCGTTTGGTTCCCATTTTCAGTTTTGGCGCCCTTTTGGTCCCCGAACCCGCCATTTGCTGTCTCCCTTGGCGCGCTTTCTATCTTCCACCCCCTTCTAAGTTCTATCTTCCACACTTTTCTCCCAGTTTTCCTGTTTCTGTCGTTGAGTAGCAATCCAAAGCAGTTCGATTCATCTGCAAGCCGCCGCCAACTATCACTCCAGTAAGTCATAGCATGGCCAGTTCTACTTGGTACTCTCTTTTCTCCGTTTCCTCCTAGCTAGCTATGGTTTCTCGAGCCAAGCGAATCTTGGACAGCTAGTTTGTAAGTGCCGCCATTGGTCCAGTTCCTCGTTTACCGACTGCTATGAGCTATCTCACCCGGGAACTCAACCCCGATTAGGGTTTCTGAGCCCTCTCTTTCAATTGGGCTTAATTTGTTTTATTTTTCTTATTTGATTTGTTCTCAAACCCTAGATCTTCTGCTTCAAAACCACCACCACCGCCTCCCAACCGTTCTTCTCATTCACAGTGCCGCAGTCGCATTTTCTCTTCCCCGTCAAGCGGCCGCCGATCCACTTCCCTGTTGGGCCATCTCTCGCATCTCCTCCCGTCCGCCAAACCCTAATTATGTGATACTGTTTCCCGCCCATATCAATCGATTGTGATTTCCTTTAGCTTTTGGAAATTGATCCAGTTTCATCAACTGGTCGTATCCTTGGCCGAGTACTTTGATCCCAACATGCATGTCTTGTCTTGACAATGTCGTTCCTCTGCAGGTTTTTTGTGAGTGGTATGTTGGAGATCTTGAGGGGGAAGTATTATTATTGATTCATGATGCTTGCAGCTTGCCATTCTTTAAACTAATGTTGTGTATATTGGTTCGTACAGAGATAATGGACACATCAAACCCTGCTATTCTTGTGAATGGAAACCTGTTGCCAATGCATGTGAGGAAGAGAGTTAGGACTGTGATTCAAGTACTGAATTCCGAGCGCGGTTCAGTCATTGGGAAATCCACAGATGATCAGCAGCTAGTCATAAAGGGCTCCCCGCCATCTACACCGCTCACCAACTTTGTCGAGGTCATTGGCATTGCTGATTCTGACAAGTCCATCCAGGCTGAGATATGGACCAACTTTGGTGACAACTTTGGTAAACAATTTCTGTGTCCTCCACTCCATTATAAGGTCTCTCCATGCTACCTGAAACCTGGTTTTTTGAACACATTGTTTACTTTGTTAAACAGATGCATCTTCCTTCAATCAGCTTTGCCAACTTGCGAATGCTGAATACCAGCACTTGTTCCTGTGAGCAGCAGAACCCTGCAAATGGGTTTTATGAAGTGGTTCAGTAGCTTGTGAATTCTTCTGATTAGATGATATTACTATGTGTTGGTTCTAATAGTGTTACATGTGAACAATACATGTCTTATCTTTAGTTTTGTTGGGAATGGAATTTAGACTAATGGGTGTGTACGGAGTGTGTAGTCTATACTGCACAGAGGGCTCTGTCATTGAGTTCTTGTTCATATAGGGATGCTTTGCATTTTGTCCAGCAAATCTTAGGATAGTTTGGTGATATACCAAACAAATGGAGAGAGAGAGAGAGAGAGAGAGAGAGAGAGAGAGAGAGGGAATAAAGGTGCCCCAGCATAGCAAGGGTTAACTTACGTTGATAATACAAAATTCGGCCATTAACCTCGTATATTTATGACACTCTTGACTGGAAACTTGAAAGTGATGGAATGCCTAGCATCAATCCATCCCATTGAGTTTAGCTTCACAAACGAATTCAGGGCATCAACATGACACATGCAGCGGCGTTCGGTGACAAAATTGCTAATTGATCTCAGACTAGGGTGGCAATTGGATCGGATTCGTGGATTGGATTGGTGGATCCATGGATCAAATGGATTGGATTGGATCCAATGGATTGGATTGGATTCAATGGATTGGATCAAATGGATTGGTGGATTGATCCATGAATCCAAATGACATCCAAGGCTTGGACCAAAATGTAAAATTTGAAAAGTTGTGGTACTAAAACATCATAATGAAAAAATTTAGGTACCAAAATGTAATTTTCCAATGATATTTTCGTATAAAATATAAATTTTAGGTACCAAAATGTAAAATATAAAATATACAGGTACCAAATCGTAATTTGTCATTTGGATCCATGGATTGATCCATAAATCCACCAATCCAATTGGATTTGGATCAAATGGATTGGATTTAAATAAATTGGATTAGATGAATAATTTGGTGGATGGATTGGATTGGATTCATGGATTTGGATCCTAATTGCCACCTCTATCTCAGACGGAGCAGGCCAGCCCACAGCCCACCCTCGAAACTGAATGGAATGTTTCAATTTTTTTATAAGAGTTTTATATTTTTGTTTCATCCAAAATTTATCCTTGTTTAAAATCCTCGACAATCATTTCACTATATAATATCGTGGTCTATACTATCACTAAAAATGATTTATTTGGCTAGAATCGAGTATTGACTGTTAGCTTTGATGGTAAACACCGTTTACTAACAATTATGTCACTGTCTAGTTAGAATAAAAAACTTAAAATATTTCTATTATCCACATATTCTACAATTAATCGATATTAAAAAAATATTAACAGGGCGCAATCCTATCTCATCCTTACCCTCCTCCCTAACTTGTCGACTTTCCTCCTCATCTCCGCCGCCACTTAACCTTCTAATCGGGTGTAGCATACAGTAAGTATTTCAAATATTAATCCAAATAGTCTTATACACCTACTTTTGTCGTCTACAAATTATCTAACAATCGAATTGTGGACTATTTGAAAAACGTGTTTTGCCTATTTTCTTCGATTATCGACCGGAGAAATTTACTTGAAGTATTTGAAACTAGAGTACTTTCACAGTTTCCTCCTTTTTTTTAAGAGTGTACTAACCGAGAATTCTCTCCTCCCCTCCCCTCATGTACATTTGTGTAGCTATTGGTTTGTTTGGACTATTTTTGAGCATGGGTATTGATTTGAGTGGGATTTGCTTTGCTAAATCAGCTTTTATAAAGCACGAATGTAGTAGAGTTTTGATTGTGGGATTTTGGTGTGTTTTGGGACTAATCCAGCTTTATCGAGCTAGGATGAGCTGGAGGGTTTTTTTTTTTGACAATAAATGTTCAACTTTTATTCCACTTCCAACACGAAAAAAGCGAGATTACACTTAGTCAAAGGAAATCCGAAATTAGGTCAAGAATACTAATCCAATCATCAGGGAGAGAGGATCTAGCAAGTGATCGTGCAACCCAATCAGCTCTAACATTAAAAGCTCGTGAAACTGCCTTGACCTTCACTTGAGGGTTCGTTCTTAGGATTGAGACCATTGATCCAATCCATGCAGCACCACGCCAAGGCCAATTTCTTGGCTCATCTGAGAGAGCTTTGACAATCAGCTGGCAGTCCGATTGGACAACACATTCAGAACCATATTCTTGGGCTAATTTGAGACCTTCCAAAAGTGCTTTTGCTTCGGCTTCGAGTGGGGTGGAACAAAGGAGAATGTCAGCTCGCCCATCACACACTTGTCCATGGTGGTTAGTGACCACAACACCATAAGCCGCCGGCTGGGAGTCGTTTAAAAACGACCCATCACAGTGAATCACAAAAATGTGATTGCTTGGCGGTGGAGAATTGAGTGATTGGGCTCCCCTGAGCTGAGTAGAAGGAGAGTCATTGGGGGGACTCCTCGGGCAATTAGTGCATTCCATGAATTCTTTGTAAGTTCGCAAAATAACGTTCGGATGCCAAGGGATCCGATTCTTGAACACACATTCATTCCTTGCCTTCCAGATATTCCAGCATAGGAAAATAACATGAGTGAGGGCTCCTGGTTGGATAGAGTCCTTGAGCAGGTACAACCAGTCAAGGAAAGCAGTATACTGAGCTGGCAGCGGGATGTTTGGGAAGATAACTTCCCACGATTCCCTCGCATGGGGGCATTGGAAGAGGCAGTGGAAAAGGGATTCAATCGGCCATTGGCACACCTGACATGTGGCATTTGGGGAGCATCTCCTATGCATGAGTCTCTCTTTTGTTGCCAGTCCGTTCCTAGCACATCTCCAGACAAAGAATTTGAGCTTAGGCGGGATATTCAGATTCCACACCCATTTCCATTTCTCCACATTGTCCATCGTTTGGGGGTCCGTTCCTGACGAGTAAACCGCATGATACGCTGTCTTGACCGTAAACTTTCCATCTTCATTAAATCTCCACGCCCAGAAATCCTTAGCTTCCTCCTCCCCAATCGGGACTCTCAAAATAGCATCTCTTTCTGAAGGGGAGACATGTCCCTGAAACAACTCATCCTTCCATTTTCTGCTTTCCGGATCAATCCAAGTACTTACTCTTGCATGATTTTGAGGGCCACTCTGGATGCAGGCTCTAGGAAGGAAGGGAACCCATGGATCTTGGTCAATCCACGTATCATCCCCGGATCCAATAACCTTAACAACTCCAAGATCAATTACCTTTTTTGACTCCCAAAGACTCGCCCAGATCCAAGATGGTCTGCTTCCTTTTTTAGCCGAGAGAAAATTGCCTCTGGGGAAATAGAGTCCTTTGATAAGCCGGCTCCAGAGTGTATCAGTGTTGTTCATAAGCCTCCAGGCTTGTTTGGCAAGCAGGGCCAGATTGAAATCTCTGAAGCTTCGGAAACCCAAGCCTCCCTCTGATTTTGGGGTACAAAGAACCTCCTTCCTGCACCAGTGGAGGTTGCTTTTCTGCATCGACCCTGACCAGAAAAAATTGCTAAGGAGAGAATCCATTTTCTTCGTCAGTGAAACTGGTAGAAGGAAAAGGCACATGATGAAAGTAGGAATGGCCTGGATAACCGACTTTAGAAGTACTTCCTTTCCTCCATGTGAAAGAAGTAAGCTCTTCCATGCTTCCCCCATCTTTTCCATCCTTTGGATAAGAAAGTAGAATGTTTCCTTCTTCGAATTTCCCCATTCTGTTGGAACTCCAAGATATTTTGAATGGCAGTTGGAGGATGCAAATCCAATGTGATTGATGATATCATTCTTCTCTTCCGCTGGAACATTCGCGCTGAAGAAAATAGAGGATTTATGTACGTTAACTTCTTGACCTGTCACTGCCCCATAGTCGTTGATGACCTCCAGAATTTTTCCAGCCTCCCGGATGTTAGCTTTCCCAAATATGACTGTGTCATCCGCAAAAAGACAGTGAGTGAGAGTAGGGCATCTCGAGTTGAGTTTAATTCCCTTGATTCGTTCTTCCTTTACTGCTTTATCAACTAGGAACTTTGTGTGGTAGTTTTTGGAATGCTAGTATGGAAGAGTACTTTTTCATTTGCAGGGCTAGAGTAAGTAAGCTATCATGGAAAGAGGGAGTAGATTACAGAAGGCCTCTACTTTTGATGATGAAAAGGTTTCATAGATGATTTAATGGGGCATTTTTTTGGGTGCGCTTTAGGGTGATAACTTTGACAGAGTTTCTGGGTTTGGAATGGTGTTTTATGAAGTGGCTGAGAGAAGAGGAATAGAGGATTGTTGTTGGGTTTTAAGCGAGCAGCATGGCATGCTATGGTTAGGTTGTCTTGGTTTCTTGGGGTGTCAGGCTTTTGGAAAAAATCCAAAAGTACCACTGTTTAAAAAAGAAATTCCAAAAATACCACTCAACCCCAAAAAATTCCAAAAATACCACCCTTTTTCAGAAACCGCCACCCCACCCTGCGGTTTACACGAAAACCGCTTGTCGGGGGCGCGGTTTTCTATGCAAACCGCGGGCCTAGGGGGCGGTTATATAAAAAAAAAATTGGACCAAACCGCTGGGTGGGGTGGCGGTTTGGCCTAGGGGGCGGTTATAAAAAAAAAAAAAAAATTGGACCAAACCGCTGGGTGGGGTGGCGGTTTGGCCCAAAACCGCCACCCCACCCAGCGGTTTGGTCCAAATTTTTTTTTTCCCGATCAACTCCTAACTTTGGCCGAAACTTCAAACGAACATAATTTTGCACTCGGGTATCCGATCGTAGCGATCTTTTTTTTCATTTCACATAACTTTTCAAGATCTACAACTTTTACTAGGATGAAATTTTCAAAACAGAAACTATTTGTGGATATACGGGACCTTGAGAATAACTTTACCTTTACTTTTCAGAAATCCATGTACATTTTGAAATTATGATTATATTAAAAGTTGTAGATCTTGAAAACTTTGTGCTCCAAAATCCGAATGTCATGAATTTTTTTTGATTCCGCATAAATTTTCAAGATCTACAACTTTTAATATAATCATAAATTCAAAATGTACATGGATTTGTGAAAAGTAAAGGTAAAGTTATTATCAAGGTCCCGTATATCCACAAATAGTTCCTGTTTTGAAAGGTTCATCCTAGTAAAAGTTGTAGATCTTGAAAAGTTATGCGAAATGAAAAAAAAATCTCTACGATCGGATACCCGAGTACAAAGTTACGTTCGTTTGAAGTTTCGGCCGAAGTTAGGAGTTGATCGAAAAAAAAAAATTTGGACCAAACCGCTGGGTGGGGTGGCGATTTTGGGCCAAACCGCCACCCCACCCAGCGGTTTGGTCCAATTTTTTTTTTTATAACCGCCCCCTAGGCCCGCGGTTTGCATAGAAAACCGCGCCCCCGACAAGCGGTTTTTGTGTAAACCGCAGGGTGGGGTGGCGTTTTTTGAAAAAGGGTGGTATTTTTGGAATTTTTTGGGGGTGGTATTTTTGGAATTTTTTTTTAAACAGTGGTACTTTTGGATTTTTTCCCAGTCTTTTCCATTTCTTCTTTCCCATTGATCCTCTAATTTGGCTTTCAAAGATGACAAAGGTTTTTTTTAGTTCATCATTTCGGTGGTTTTGCGATGGAAATGATAGATGGTAACTAGCGAACATTGATTAACTGAACTGTGTCTTTTTTTTCTTTTCCTGCCGAGCTCGTCGGAAGCACGTGGAGTCGTCGTTGTTCGTACTCACAGGTGCATCGGCCAACGACTACTTCAACATAAAGGGGAAATTTAGCCTCCAATGGATGAAAGACATGGTGCCTGATGTAATTGCAGTTGTAGCCTGTATGTCAGGACTTACATCAAGGTGAGTTGAGTATGAATCAATCAAGTCGTTGCTGATTCATTTAATTTAATTTTACATTCAATTCAACTGGAGATCAAGAAGATACATATATAGAGATCGAGTTGCATTTTGAATATTATAAAAAGGTATCTTATCTTCATAACATAAACCGAGCTAGTGGGTGCTGGATTACTTGGTAAAGGAGTCAAGCTTCAAGTATTGTCATTTCTTATTTAAGCATGGAGGCACAAAGGTTGTGGTGGTGGGAGCCTTTCGATTTGGGCATGGTGTGGATTTTGGTGTCAATGGCAACAAACTTCATTGCAACAACAGCTACAATTCTTTGGCCACACTTCACGAGCACCTCCTCAAGAAAGAGTTTGGAAGGCTAAGAGAGGAGTCTCCCCCGCACGCGAATCGTTCATGGAGATATGTGGGATGCCTTCGAATGGATCATGGACCACTTCTGGTCGGTCGGTGAGTGTTACTGACTTGACTTACAAAACAACTACTATTGTTGCAGTTGATAATGATTTTTCTGTATCTTTTGCAACTACAGGTTACCACCATCCCAGTTACATCCCTGCTGCGGGAATGCTCATGCTTACTGTGGAGATTCCGGTGCGCCATGCTGCCCTGGCCCTGGGGAATATACTGCTGGTTAAATTGACGCGTTAGCGTAGGGATCCCAAACTGTTTGCCTTCAAAGACAACTCAGTTACGAGACCGCCAGATCCGCCAAAGGACAGCAACCACGACCATGAACACCGCTGGTTGATGAATCAGCGCCAGCAGACGTTTGAGAAATAATGGAAAGGTGTGCCGAGGCAAACCCTCTCCCAAGTACTCCAGCCCCGAATAGTCCCAGAGAGCCCGCGCAACCGGCCAATAAAGAAACAGATGTTCCATCGTCTCCAGACTATCCCAACAAACCAGACACCGGGGAAGCATAGGGACTTTTTTTTCTCAATGAGTGCCTCAGTAGTCGGTAGGACCCAATGAAGAATTTGCCAGACAAAGACCTTCAATTTTGGAGGGATCTTGGCTTCCCACAAACTAATCCAACTTGGCTTATCCATCCAACTAACCGAGGACCGCCACACTCCCCTCCTCCTGTCCAACTCAACAGCCAAACGATAGGCCGACTTAACCGAGAAAACCCCATCTGCCGTGTTATGCCAGATCAGCTTATCCGCCACATTCTGTCGCGGGAGTGGAATAGCTTGTATGGCACGGCAGGTAGCCGGGTCAAACCATAGTCCAAGCTTATCATCAGACCAATGCCCTTCCCCTTGACAAATAACCTCTGCCACCAGGGGGTCACCCCCTTCTGGTAGGATCAGCGGATTATAGCGAGGGGGATCCAGCCGAAGCCCAGGAATCCAGTTAGAGTGGAGAAGAGAGGCCGAGCAGCCATTGCCAACCTGCCACCATAAACCCATCTCCAATAGCTGACTCCCAAAAAGGATACTCTACCATCCCCATGAAAGACGTGATCTAGCCGTTGCGCCCAGAAAGGTTTCCCGAGGGAAATATTTCCCTTTATACACCTGGGAGAGGAGGGAATTGATTGAGCTCGACTCAATTTGGAAGCCTTTGAACGAAGAGCCTTAAGCTGGTATGGAGTGCAGCTTTGTTACTTGCGTAGGAAGCTAGTTACTTAGGCAACAATCAATCAAGTTGAAAGTCGAGTTTGAGAAAAATTCTCTAGATGTTTTGTGTTTGTTTTTCCTTATTAGAGTTATAGTAGTTTTCCTTTTTTAGTAAGCATAGGATGAAGTTCTTTTGCCTATATAAAGGCTTCATTGTAGCTTGTAAAGGGGAGGACATTATTGAATGAAGTTTAACCTAGAATTCTTCGAGCTCAAGCTTGAAAGTTTCAATCGATTGTTTGTCTCCTATCAATCGAGTAAAAAACCTCGATTGTGGCGAGCTACTACCCACATTCAAATGGAACGTGTCTTCCCCAGGTGTTGAATTTCACTTTAATCTCATCCAGTTCCTAGAACCAAAACCCTGTTCTTTGGTTTGATTTGCATTGATCAATCAAACCCTTTGAATTAATCTTGTTGTGTGACACTGATCATGAAAACATACCTTGTGTTCACACCAAGGATGAATCCGCCCAAAATGTTTCATTCACACCTTGTGTTCTCACTAAGGATGACTTAACCATCAAGTAAGCTCATTCCTTGCTTTTAACGAGTTGGGATCTTCTTCTTGGACGTGGATGACTATGATCTCTTGTCCCACGAAGAATTCAAGCTCAAATGATGTGAAACTCTTAGCCAAATAAGCTTGTAGTTGTGTATTCAATGCTTAGGTTTAACTTCAAGTGATTGGACCTTCACTTTGAGTAGCCTCCTCTCGCACCTATGTTAGGATTGTAATAGCTTTGGTGTTGATGCCCTCATCATAGCTTATTTATTAGCAAATCTTCATCATTAGTCATTTAAGATGTTGATAAAGATAGAATAATCATGTGCATAATTGGTAAACCATTACATCTTATAAAATATATCATATTGTTATACCTTTTCAAACACGGGAATTAAGTTTTAAATTATAAATTGAAATAGCTCAAACAAATGTATGATATCCGTAGCAAAGTGTGTGCGCAATAACTAGTTATTGTTTATTATTATTATTGCATAATAAAAGAGTCATCTAGGTAGCTAACAATTTTGGCCTTAGACATGGAAATCATCATGCAATGTTGTTGATCTGCAGAGGGCAGTCTGTTTGGCTGCCTAGTTCCCTCTCTAACCTATGGGTGCAAAAGAGCACTACTATATGCATTTACGGTATTACTTCACGCACAACATTCATTCAATCATTCAAGACACACACACACGCACACTCGACAACGAGAGGAGAGGTTGATGCGATGAAAACCAACAACAGAGTTACATCCTTTCATTCATTCCCCTGTCCGTTGGATCGATCAAGGGGAGTGTTGCTTGAAGAGCTCAACCTTCCTTCCATTGAGGGGCTGGACCGGTCTCGCGTTAACCTTGAATCCATCTGGCAATGGTGCTGTCAAGGCTTTCACCTGCTCTCTGGACACCGTCTTGGGGCGGGCGAGGACGGACCAGATGACGTTCTCGGAGCACGGCGGAGAAGTGATGGAGCCAACGTATCTGTAGTACTTGTGGTGTGAAGTAGTCTTCTTCAGCATCTTGCACTTCATTTTCTTCTTCAGCGGCACTTGCGCTTCTTCGTCCGCCGGGTACTTGTCCTTTGCTAGCTCCTGCAGCTCGTCTTTCATCTATGTGCACACACAAACAAACAAACAACAAACAACAGAGGGGTCCTTGTCAACAAGAGGAATAGAATACGATCCATTTTCTTAATTATATCAAGTCGCTGGCTACCTTTTTCATGAATTTGTCTTCGGGGCCATATTCGTAGAGGATTGCTGCCACGGCGAAGCTCTCATCGTCTGCCTGGTGAACCATGTGAAGCTCCAAAGCGTACCTTCACGTGAAAGAGACAGAACAGAGTTAAAGTACTACTCGCCGTTTTGAAGCTGCCAACATGCCCAGGCCAGAATTCCCAATACCCAAAAACAGGAAAGGAAAAGGAAAGGGAAAGGAAGGGATGGTCAGAGAGAAAGCGGGACTTACTGCTGGCCGTCAATGGTGTGCTCCGATGGAGAATGCCAATGCATTTGCTTCAGTCTGTAGGTTTTGCCCTCTATCTCCAATTCTCCAGGGGAATCATCAAAATGAACCTGCATTCCCGCCAACACAGAAGGACATTGTTCAATTCAAATCAAATCGTGTCGAATTGTACACCGATTTAAGGTTGTTGTCACATCAATGACATGGTAACAAATTCCTCTATCATTACGATGGAATGGCTTTGGTTTCGTTGTTTTAATATGAAACTTAGTTCATGATGTGATATACTTAATAATAATGCTTATAAGCCGATTCAGTGAGCTAACCACGCCATAGAAAAGTTGATTGGTTGGTTCAAAGGCAGAGGGAGAAGGAAGGTCTCAAACCATGACATTGCGGCCGGTGTTGATAAGAGAGGCTCCCACGGAACGATAATTCCCTTCCAGTTTCTGCAGCTTCTTGTCCTCCACGGCCTCCTTCCTCCTAATGTCGATAGGGGACTGGGATTTGCCAGATCCACATGCCTGGTACTTTGGGCTCAAACTCCCCCATTTCGCAGGCCCATTTGGCCCGGAGTAACCAAAGCTCACTGTACAAGAATGTTTCCAAAAACAAACAATCAGGACAAAATTCGATCAAACAAACATCCCCTCCTTCTTCTTCTTCTTCTTCTTCTTCTTCTTCTTTTCACAATGGCGTGAAAAGGCAAATAAGGACCAGAACATGCTCAAACATTAGCATTGTATGTACCAGAAGAAGCATTGTTGGCAGAGGCGAGACCAAGTGGCAGTACAAGAATGGCTACAACAACGTACAACAAGGAGAAGGAGAAAATTGATGCTCTGGTGGTACCCATTTAATCTCTTTCTTGTTTTCGTGCAATGGTCGACAAATTATAAACAATAAGAGCCAAGAATGTGTGAGAGTTATGGAGAGGGAGCCTGAATTTAGAAGAAGCAGGGGAGGAGAAACACAGGGGTACTGTCTGAGTTTAGACTTGCTCTGTGTCTCTCTCTATGCAGTGTACGCAAATACAAATGTAAGGAGCTCTCTATTTATACAAGAGAGGCTTCCAATCCATTGCTCCTGCTCTGCTGAAGGTAAACCAGGGTGATAATGGGAAAGGTGGGTGCTTTTTTTGCTTTGTGTGGATGGATGGAGTTGATATGGATGGATGCGCACTAACAGTAAGAGAGAAGGGCAGAAAGCTAAGGCCAATGATGATGATGCATGATCATCGCGACCATATAGTTAAGCTATCTAGCTTTTTGTTTCTGGGAGGTTTTGTTTGTTTTGTTGTGGGAAATGGGCGGAGGGGAGGGTTTTTGTCGTGAAAGATTGAAGCATTTGGTTGTCGTCAATGATTCTGGGTTAGCTCTGGAGTTAACTACCAAATGGAAACAACGCACACTAGGAATCTAAAATCATTCCAATAGAACATAACATTACATATGTTCACCAACGTTGCACTAGCTAGTGGATTTCTCGGACGGCTTGGACGGTTTTGTGTGGAAAAGATTCCTAATAATTTATGGACTACTGTAGTCACACTGCATGACATGCCCCATCTCGTTTTGGGTGCGGGAACTGTGGAAGTGCATTTGGATAGGAAGTATATATAATATATATATATACTAGGTGGCGATGACGAGACTTGTCGCGGAATGGAGATGACCTATGGGTAGGGATGGTAATGGGTAGGGTCGGGTGCGGGTTTACCCTATACCAACTCCTAACCCGCTGGGTAGAGCTTTCTAAAATACCCGAGCAAATAACCACCGGGTATGAAAATTATATAACCATACCCTACCCACCGGGTAACCACTGGTATTCGGGTAATCATGGGTACGAATCCTAAACTATAAACTTATACACATATATGCACATACATACTGTTGTCCATTAAAAATTCTCAATACTTGTAATTGTTCTAGCTTCAACAATCCACACAAATAAAAACAGCGAACACATAATACTTGTTATTGCTTCTACAATCCACACAAACATAATAATCGTCTACATCTCCATCATCAATAATGGTAGCTAAACTCAATTTCTCAAGCTAAAATAAATTTCTCAAGGGAAATTGATCCTTTGGTTAGCGGTCGGGTATAACGGGGCGGGTATTATCGATTACCATACCCGTACCCTACCCTTTATTTTGAAACCGGGTATTACCCGTACCCGCCCCTTAACCCGCCAAAGCGGGTAATTACCCTCGTTGACCGGTTACGGTCGGGTAGGGTACCCATGGTTATGGGTTGGATTGACATCCCTACCTATGGGCATATATTATGCGACCTGTTATGGTGTTTTGTGAGTATTATTAGTCTAAAATTAATTTTTTGTTAGCAGTTTTGTTAGTAATATTGAGTTGACAATATGATATTGACTGAGAATAGATATATGGTGGTCAACATCCAATTTAAAAAATTTAAATATTTTGGCTAATAAATTATATTTATCTAAATCCAAGTAGACTCCTTATTATAGGTAGGGTATGTGTGACGTATTTATGAGTTTGAAATTTTGAGGACTTATATGTCAAACAAATAAATTTAGGTTATAAATCTAAAGATCTATTAAGTTTAGGTACTCAACTGTAATTTGCATAGTTGAGGCTTATTTCCTTTTATGGTGATGTATTTAAGATGATAATTATTTACTTTTTTATAGAAAATAGAAAAAAATATTTGATATGTATAACTGTTGAAAATTTCATGTATAATTGTTGAAAATTCTAACCCGGATGAAAAAGAAAATCTCTAGAGAGAAGCAAAATGAATACAAACTGAAACTAGCTTAAAATTTCATGCCTTCAAATCCCATAGTGGAAATTGACGACTTTCTAATAAGTAATAATCATATATAATTGTTTTTAATTGGACTCAACATTAAGCTGAAAAAGTTAGTGGTTCATGGTTCAATTATTAATTCTGTAGACTATTGTTCAGTCGTGTATGGACTCGTTCATACTTGTGATTATAATACATAAAAATAGTATACTAATTAGTGTTAGATGAAGAAGGCAAAGAAAGAAATAAAGAATGGGTTATGGAAGGCGAGTGAAAAATGAAACGAAGGGGAAGTAGATGATGAAAAGGTTTTGACCAATTCTTTTAGTTGGCCGTCAATGTAACAGTCAACCCTTTCCACCGTAGCAATTTATTAACACTTGCTTATGTAGATGTCACATATTTTGTTACATGTAGTTAGTAGAAGTGTGCTTAGTACCCCGTAAATGTACTAAATGAGTTTATAAATTCGCACTTACAATATTTTAGAATCGTATCTCTTTTATCATATTTTTTAATGTTTCACGTTTGAGTGATACAACATCTTGTATGGTACAAACTAAATTTATACTTTTATGTTATGATGGATTGGATCAAAAGGATTGGTGGAATGGATTCATGGATTCAAATGAAATCTAAACATTGGACCAATATGTGTAAAAGTAAAAAAAAAAAAATTACGTACGAAAATCTCATAAATTTAGATACCAAAACATAATTGTTCAATGATTTTAAATTAAAATTAAATTTGGAGTATCAAAATATAAAATGTACATTACAGTAACTAAGTTGTAATTTAATTTGGGGTTCAAAATGTAATAGTTTAGGCAACAATAACTTGCCTTCAACTTTATATATACTAATAATAGGGTTAATAGCATTTTGTAACTCTTTATTTTGACAAATTAACAAACGTACCCTTCTACTATATTTTCCCACAAATATAGCTTTCTAATATTAAATGGTAACAAGTTTACCCTTCCATCTAACAATCGTTAAGTGACCATTACATGGAATGAGAAATGATCCAATTGTCGCTCGATTACTCCTATTTTCAGTTTTAGTTTTAATTATTTTATTATTTATGTCCAAAATCAATTAATTAGAAAAATAAAAAAATAATTTAATTAATTAAAAAAAGAACAAACCAGTGCTGTCAAAGTCGAATCGAGCCGGCTGGCCGGACCGCCAAAACCGCCACCCGGCCGTAAAACCGGCTCGGATCAGCTATTTAACCGCTACGGTTTTATACAGCGGCCGGCGACCGGCCGAAGCGGTTAACCGCTCGAGCCGCTCAAGCCGGTCGCACGGTTCGGCCGTTTGGTTTACCCTAAAAAAAAAATAGAGAAGGTCAATCGTGGAATGGGGCAGCCAAACAAAACCCTAACTTTCATTTTATTTCTTCATTTTCGACCTAGAAGTAGAATAGACGACAGAGGGAGAGCGGTTTCCATGTTTAAGACTCTTGTTTAATGTTCAGACTCGTGTGATATTGCTTTTATTTTGGAACAATGTGGTGGTTTGGAATTGAATTTTAGATCTTTCAGTACTGATGTTCTAGAATGGTTTAAGAGAGTAATTTACTTGTGGTTTACCATGATTAAGAAGTGTCTACTATTTATACAGATGACTGTTTATTAGGTACCGGTTCTCAAACGGTTTTTAAACGGTCAAATGTCGGCTGGACCACTAATGACCGAACCGTTCTCGTTACCGGGTCATACTCCAGCTCGGCTTTGACAGCATTGGAACAAACGGACAAACCCCTTCCCCTTCCTCTGCACAACCGACAAACTCCTGTCTTCATCTCTACTCCCCTAGTCTTAAAACAGAGAAATTCGGCCTTCAACGCCGCATGACGCGGATCGATCGGGAAGCAGGGAGTCTCGCCACCGTCGAAGCCTGTTGCAGTCGCCATTACAATTTTACCGGCGGTTGGCAACTATTGTTCGCTGGATACATTTTCGATCGAGAGCCGTCGTTGTGCCTTCGCGTGGGGAAGAGGTTGATTCGTCTTTGTCGAAGCTGCTCCAGCCGGCGTCGATGGTAAGCTACCGGAGTTGAAGGCTGGATTTCTCTAGTTGTGCAGGGGAAGGGAAGGATTAGAATTTTCGTCAGCGATCGCCGATCTTCGGGTAGGCGTCCAATCACTCGTCTTCTTCTCCTTCTTCTCTGGTTTCGGACTTGGGGAAATAGAGATGAAGACAAAGAGTTCCTTCGATTGTGCAGTGGGAGTAGGGATGGCAATGGGTTGGGTTTTGCCAAACCCGAACACATGGGTTTATCCATGAAAAAAACCCGGGGTAAGCCCACTGTTTTGAAAAACTCAAACCCAACCAGCTGGGTATCCGCGGGTTCATGAGTACCCATGGGTTTTTGTCGTAAAAAATTTACAATAACAAGTTCCTATCAAATTAAAGTCAAATATCAATCTCTCAATACAAATTATCCATATATAGAACACCATTCTAGAAAATTCAAGCAAATCACAAATTAACCATACAAATTGTTCAACACCAATCTAGAAAACTCAAGAAAATTGAAGCAAATCACAAATTATCCATAAACAACATGATTAATTGAAAACTTCTTCCTCCTTGTCAATTAATTTTCTTCACTCTCCACTCGACAACATCAACTTCATTCTAGACAATTAAAAAGAAAAAATTAGACATGTCTCCACAAACATAAAGTACATTATTTGTTTAAAATATTAAATATACCGGGAAAATTAATTATATGGGTGTGAGCGGGTACCCATAGGGCAGGTTTACCTAAACCCAAATGCTGAATAATGACAGGAGATCAGCATCATTCAATATATCTCTCAATTGTGTTCCCCATCCTTGGTACTGGACGATGTCTTGCCAGTTTAGCTCTCCTTGCTGATAAACAGACACATTCTTCCATCTTGCTATCTTCATGGCACCAGGACTCTCATAGGGAAATTGGAGGAAGGTATGCATGGGAGGTTCTGGTGTATCCCCTCGAATCTCCAAACTACTATCGATCTCCATCACCTCGTATTCTGATGGTAGTTGTCCACTCATGCTTCTTTATCTCCTGCTATCCAAAGATAGCCTTCCTTTATTACTCTAGGATCCCCTAACGAAGAGGATGTGTGAACTCATCTCCCTCAAGGATTCCTCCTATCCAATCACGATTGTTGGCTCCCTGCTATTGAGTCGTGAAGACCGTCAGAGTGCTACAGGCTCTGAATCTTCCATAGGTGTACTAGGATGCCTCAACCCTCCTGAAGCATCATTGTCTACTTTTTCCTTCTTGTGTCGTCCAATCCATGGGAAGGAACTCAACATTTTCCTGCTCGAAAGAACCCTTAATAGTATAGATCTAGGGGATAACCCCGCACTTTAAGAGCGTGGCTTCTTCCATAAGCTAATCTTATAACTTCTCATGTATGGTATTGAAGCATATTTGATAACAAATTTATGCATTTTCCCATATTTGATACATTTTCTCCTTCTATGGAAGCATCTTTGATAATTTCAATGATATTTCTTGTCTAAATCACAACTATTTGATCAATGAGCTTTTAATAGACTTAGGTAATGTTCTTTTACTATTTGATGACTTCTTGGTATATATTTTATGGTTTTGAAGGTACAAACCAACCTAATGCAGATTGGATCAACACATTGAAGAACTCTAGAGGACCAAATGAGCTACAAAGAGAAGTTTAAGGAGTTTTCATGAGAAAGGAGTGGTCCAATGATGGAGAAATCAACTAGAAGTTATCAGATTATGCCAAGAAGAGCCCACAAAAGGAAGACCCAACCAATTTTGAAGTAATAAAGAGTGGTGGCCAAGCAACGAGTCCAACCACCACCACCCAAAGTTATTGCACAAATCGTGAGGAATTGAAGTCCAACCCATGAAGAACCAGAGCAGCGGATCCAACCACCGTGATACCCCCGCCTTCCCTTTTCCTTCTTGAACAATTTTCCTAAATTTAGGAGACTCTTTCTTAGTCCGTTACTTTAGGCCTGATTCTTCCCTATAAATAGAGGGCACGACTCCATTGTAAGAATAAGGATGCAAAAAGACACAAATCTCTTTAGCACTCTGCACGAGTGCTTAGCCTATTCGAAGTAGAGAGGTCTGTAGCAAAGGAGATGTTTTCATCGTAAATGGTGGTATCTTACTTCTCCTCTATAAAGCTAGTCAAAATTGATTGTATTAGGATGTGATCTTGTTTATTGTTATGTGAATGAATGTTATGATTTCATCGCATGCTAGTGTTTGTCTATTAATTTTGATGCCTATGATGATCATTGATGCTTGATTGTATTTGATGCTTATGATCATCATTGATATTTCCATAGTATGAATGCTCTTAATACCATTGATGCTTATAATTCTATTGTATACTACTATATGAATTGTGCTTAGTATTGCCTAAATTGTCAAGAATTACCTTCTAGGGATACCCCATTGATGCTACACGAGTATGTGAGGATTGATCACACATCTATGTTTCGAGTAGTCAAAATGCTTGTTTTTTATATCATTGATACAATATACTATAGTTATGGTTCGTAGAAGCCCACAATTAATTAAGTAATGACATGAAGTGAAAACACACGTTAGCTAGTTAAATCTCTATCTCAAGAGGTGTATGCACGGGTAGAGAGTGTGCTTAGAGGAAGGGATATGGTATTACCATAGATGAATCATCAATGCATGATGTGAATGAGCCCTAGTTTGCATGATCATCTTAGAGTTCACAATTTATTACAATCACGTATCTTTACTTTTAAGCATCTATAAATCGAGAAACCCTTTTAAGCATCTATAAATCGAGAAACCCTAAAAACGTTTACTCTTCGTGTTTGTTTGTTCAATTCGTGCATGTCATGATTGTTGGTGTGAGTAGTTGTGCATTATAAGACCTCGAGGAATACAACTCTAGTATGCAAGGTGGCAAGCTACGAGATGAGAGCTTGGTCCGATGACGTCATATGGAGCCGGAGAATGCGATGTGGGAGGATACCGACATAATTCGATGAAGCTATCCTATGTTCGACTTTGAGGGTAATATCGATTCTGCAAAGGAGGGGAATGATAGAAACCTGGCCTAGCTGGACGGGTAGGGGCGGATTGGTCTTATGACCCGAATGGATTATTATTTATTTATTTTGTCAGACTCTATTTAAGGATTGATTGAGATCATTGAAGGAAGGAAGTAAGAACAATCATTGAAACCATATTATCCTTTACCCCTCTTTTCTTAGGGTTCGTTTGGAAGTTGGGAGTCTATGAATATGTGTATTCTTGCAATGTATGTATTCTAAGTATAGTGATTGTAAGAAATAGATTATTGTAAGAATATGTTGTTTGGTTGTTGTGATTCTCACTTTTGAAGAATATAAGGATTCTCACTTTAATGACCTAAAAGACTTATGTATCCTTGAAGTTATCTTTATGTAATCATTAAAGGAGGGACAAATATGAAATATATAAAAAAGAATAAGGATAAGAGTGTAAAAAAAACAATTACAAAAGTAAAACAAAAGAATCTCACATTTTTGTAGAGATTCTAAATGAATGATTCTAACCATTTGAGATTCTAAAGTTTCATTTAAATGCATGCATTCTGGACAAATTTACGTCAAAAGAAAAAGGTGCTTCATAGACATGGCCATTGCAATGGCTTCATGATTGGTGGATCAAAATATAATGTAGGATAGGTTGGTGTGGTCGGCTCACAGCAGAAGAATCAGGAAGGATGTAGGCTTTTACTGGTTAAGCTTGCAACAAACCGAATGTGGAACATTAAGGTGGGCAGAAAGGCAAAACAAAAACAAACAGAAAAATGAAGATAAATGAGAATCATATGCTCAGTTACATGTATTTATCATCACCCATTTCCCCCCAGCATCACACAGCACTATGAGTAGCCCATATGTTGAGGACAGAAGAACACAAAAGTGGTGGTGGGAAATGAGCTGTGCAGAATTGAGACACACATGTAGTGAAGTTCCTCTTCCTCCCCTTTTCCTGTGACCTATGAACTAACTGCCACACAAAATGGCCAATATTGCAGCTCCATGATAGGGCACCGTCCTGTGTTTTCAGTTTTGACAACTCTTTATTTCTCTGCTTCAGAACGTTCTGATATTATATTATTAGCAGATTCCGCATATTATGTGGGTAAGCTTTGAATTATGCCCTCCTGTCCTGAACTCCGCACTATGGATGGAGAGGACCACAGCACTACTCTTTCCGAAATGGGTTTGTTCGGCAACACAAATCTATCTTCTTCTCCTTTTACTTTTGTAGGCAGATCAGACCAGCTGCTTCTACAGCCATGCTTACCCGTATGAAACATGGGTTACAGATTACTAGTTAGCCAAAACAGTCGGGATCCTTAAGACAAAAGTCTTCCCGCAAATGGACAAACAGCAACCCTTGCACGAAGCCTGCAGCCTTAAATTCGAGACCCGCAAATGTATATTTGGGTTACTGCTCTTTGGTGGGATCAGGTCAACTTAATATCAGCATTCTATTAGTCTGCCTGTTTGGGGTCGTTTGTGGTGGTTTCAGAATTGGTCGTCATCACTATGGCTGCAGTCACTCCCCAAACTTCTTCCCTATCAGCCATTTTGCGGTTTTGAATTCAATGTCAATGCTCCATCACAATCTTTCTACCTTCAGTATAGTACAACGGAGTTTGCATAGTCCTGAACATCAACATTAACCTCTTCCTTCATTCTATTGCAGCAAGCAAGGCTACAGAGCAATTTTTTAACAATGCATTTTCTAGTGAATAACTATATGAATTTGTACATAGTAAAAGCAGGAGGATGGGGTGAAGCAAAGCAGGCTGCTCTGGAAAGTAAGGTATTCCCATGGAGAAGTTTGGTTGTTTTATGCAGCATAAGTCGCTGTTAGATACTCAATGATTTCTGCACTCTCAAACATCTGTACACCTGTGTTAGGGTCTTCAAGATAAGGTGCCTGTCAAGAATAACATCCAGTAAGACCAATTCATCGTAGAAAAACTCAGAACGGACATTTCTCAGCAGGCTAAGAAGAAGGAAGAAGGAAGATGGATCATGAGATATAAGAAACCTGAAAATGTCCAGTTTTTGCATATAGTATCTGCCGTTTTGGGCTGCCACGGGCACAACTGCCAGAAGTGAAAAGGAGGGACATTTCAGTGCAAGTGCCAAAGATTACCAACTGGCCACATTGTTAATACACTGACGGCATTTCAAAATTAGCTGTGCATTCCAAAGCTGACTTTTTCATTGGAAGTATCTGAATCTCCAAAGTACCCCAAACAAGAACGAGAATCATTTATGGTTGTTACCTTCGATATATATGTGGCAATTCCAACTCTACGAGAACTTCACGGACAAGCTTACAGAATGGAGAACCCTAAAAACAGAGGTATAATGACTATTCATTACTTGTACAATCTTTGGCACAAACACTGTTCATTCAACACAAGATAAAAAGTATGTGACTGGAACAAACCTCATACGCCCATAACTCTAGAGGTTTCGGAGGCAATTTGGATGGAATATATGATTGTCCCTGTATAGATGGAATTGAAAATGGTGGTTGAAGAACCCTTGAACTCAAAGAGAAGTTTTTAGAGAGGCAGCATATGATCAATATTTTCCAAATAAACATTTCAAAGAGATGAAAGCCAAGCAGGTGATTCTTTATTGAAATGATCAAGAAAATATGCCAAGTATTACCCTTCCCATACGACCAATCATAGCAAAGCCTGCAGTCAAAGTCTGCACGAAAAATAAGAGTAGAGAGGCAACCGGCAATAAGGACAATGCAAATGAAAATACAAATCTTCATGAGAGAAGATGGAGATGCAAAGGCAAAGTGCTCACCGTTAGAAGACCAAGCGACAACATCAGAGGAACTCGTCCATCACCTAGTATAAACAAGTGCAACAGGTAAATATCTCACAGTGATAGAAGTACAGAAAACATCGATATCTGGCAAAATATGGGAAAGTTCATTCCTTGTTTATGTTTAAGATGAGTTAAGATGATGAAAGGAAAATCAACATCGAAACATTAACAAACGGATGACCATCAAATTCCATATTTGGACTACTTTAGTAATTTGACAAGAGCTTCTAAGCCTACATGCAAAAGCCTACCATATTTATCAACCAGATACTTGATAATCGCATCTGACTCGTACATTGAAACTCCAGTATTTGGATCAACCTGCATTTCAAACAAGGTTCATATAGTGAAAAAAGATAAAAGAAGGCGAGATTGTATTCTTCTAAATTATAGTTCGACAACAAGCAATAACAAGGAGATTAAGATCAAACCATGTAGGGGAATTGCTGCTTGCCCCCCAACTCAACAGCCTTGGGGCGAAAATTGGGACCATTCCTTGGGCAGGGGTAAAATAGGACATCAAGATCCAAGACAGCAACAATTTCCCTAACCTTAACACAAGGAAATATATCAGCCAACATATCAGCAGGTTTATGGATAAATGGATATTACAAGGAAAGAAAACACCGAGAGCAGATAAGTCAGCAAAGGTACAAAAGAAGGTCAACAGCCACCAATTAGCCAAACCTCTCATGCCCTTAAGACCTCACCTCCTCTTAATAAAATTCATAAGGATAATATAATGACCCCTTGCTTACTAGACTAGAGAATATACGAAGCTAAACATCTCCAAAGATAATACAAGGTCTACAGTATTAAGAACCACAATACCTTTCGACAGAAAGGACAGCTGAAGATTTGCAGGTTGGTTGCCACCGTTCGAACATGGAGAAAAGAAGTACAAGCATTCAGTATCTTGATTCCTCACTATATAACCTTGATAAGTTCATAACAGAATGAAATCAAGAGAAAAGCCAGTAGAATTGTGTTGCTTCCTCTTTCCTTTTCTAAGATGCATTTCTGAAATTGATCATAAAACAAAGAAATTAAAAGACTTAGAACTTCCATACCTTTCAAACTCATATATCATGATTGGCTGCTCTGGACGAGGTCCTAGCTTTGAGGTCTCTTTCACTTTGTAACCTATATAATCAAGGGCCAAAATTTTGAACTAGACGGTTATGATCAAAGAACCTGTTATGACCATCTTCGAAAATCTATCATATCTAGGAATGGAATATCAGAGTGGAGAAAGGAGGGTGATTTTGATGTCTACCTGCTAGTTCTAGTGCATATTGATCAGCAGGAATCTCGTCTTTGGACACGAAAGACACTGAGTAGCTGCCACGGTACAAAAATCAACAACGAACTAGAATTACAATCCCATATTCGTCAAACCCTAGCAGTTCAGGAGGCACTAGAGAGCACAATTAGCAATCAGGGAAGGAAACAAAAAAGCGATTTCTCAATTGAAATTGACGATGAAGCAGGGAAGTAAATTGCAGAATCCCCACAGCGAGAGCCAAAAAAAAAAATCAATTACCCATTGAGGAAGACACCAGTGCCGAGGCGGAAAAAGAGGGCGAGAGCCGCTCCGGCAACATCCAAACCCTTGTCTGGTCGGACAGCAAACCTCTTTGGCTCCGGCGTCTTGAAACCGGCTGGGGCAGCAAATGAGGGCGCTGCTTCTTGTTCTTCTCCTCTAGTGGCTGCCGTCGTGGCGCCAGAGCTCGGAGGTGTCTCCGACGAGGAGGCCCTGGTTGCCGGAATGGAGGTCCTGATTCCTGCAGGTACACTGCTGCGGCGGGAAAATGTTCGGAGGATTGGAAACTGGGAGACGTTGATGACTCCGGCCATGATCGCCGATCAAAGTCCAGTGCTCTTTGGACCGGAGCGGCTGTTCCGATGAGTGATTGGTAGCTGCTGAAGTTGAGACAGAGAGTTGGGTAGTTTTGTGCCGTTGACTGTTGTTCGTAGAAAAGTTTGATTTCCCAATTTCACGCTGAGGGATGGAAGCATTGGAGATTATGACAGGTAATTTAATTGAGTCCCTTCGTTTGATTTCCCAATTTCACGCTGAGGGATGGAAGCATTGTCGTCTCCTTTAATGGATTTCGGTTCGGATCCGACTTTTTGTTTTTTTGCCAAAAGATACTTCGTCTAGAACGAGATAATCAAGATATACTATAGTTAATTAGCCGACCAAAGCCAGGAATGAAAATCGAACCCTATCAAACTAGGGAACAATGAAAGGGCTTTTCTGGCCACCATATTACGAGCACGTCCAATAAAATAAACACAAGAATGGAGGAAGCATTGTCTCAACACCTTGATCTCACTCAAAATGGCCCCACCACGAGCATCCAAACACGAGCCCTCCACCTTGTCAAGCACCACCTTGGCATCACCTGCAAAGACAACGTCCTGCACCCCCATATCAAGAGCCCACCGGATCCCGTCCCTCAGGGCTAGGAGCTCCACTAAGAAAGGATCCTGCACATCCGGATACACAGATGCATCTGCCCCGAGCAGTGTCCCCGAGGAATCCTCCATAACCCAGCCACCTGCACCATGAGAACCTGAACACACGGCCCCATCCGTGAACACCCACAACGCCCCCTCCCTACCCTGCACCCCACCCTGAACCCCCCTCAGCTCATTCCCATGAGAACCTGAACACACGGCCCCATCCGTGAACACCCACAACGCCCCCTCCCTACCCTGCACCCGACCCTGAACCCCCCTCAGCCCATTCCCAGAGGCAGGGAAAAACGTTAACGCACTACCCAAAGGCACCGCCTCCCATTCTGCCACCTGTCTACTGAACTGAGAGAGCAACACGGCAGGGGTGAACAACGTGGAGTAAAAAACCAACCAATTCCGAGCCTTCCATATACGCCAGAAGAGGGCAATCACTCGCATTACCAATCCCCCCTCCAAATTCGGTTGGTCAAGAAATCGTCTCCAGAAGACTTTGACCGAGGCAATCGTGAACTCATCTCGAAGAAAACCTAGCCCAGACGCCTCCCAGCATCCACCCGCCAACCGACAATGAAAGAATAAGTGCTCAACATATTCCACTTCCCATAAGCATGTGGGGGCACAGAAGGACCCCTTCCATACCCCTAACCGATAAAGCTTCACCAGTGGGAACCACTCTCCGCAACAATTGCCAAAGGAACAATTGAAACTTGGGGGGAACTGGGGCACTCCAAATCTTACCCCACAAACCCGAATCCCAAATTGCAGGACCCAACTTGGCCTGAACCTCTCGACCCTGCCTAAGACCTGCCGCAAGATGGTACCATGACCGAGCAAAATATGACCCAAAAAGGTCATGATGCCAGACCAGCCTATCCTGGATTGGAACCCTTGGCAAAGGAATATCTCGAATTTTCCTTTCTGGCCTGTTTGAAATGCTGAACGCGGGATAAACATCTAGGTAAGGAAAAAGAGTACATGATTTTTGCTACGCTTTTGTATACTTTTTTATTAAAACTTTACTAAGAAAACTCAGCAGGAAAGAATCTTGGTTAAAGGAAAAAGAATGTGGTGCAGAGTGCACACTACAACCCCATATTCTCAAGTTGTGCAGGAAATTCTAAGGGTGTTGCTATGGTCATTCCTGTTTCTCCTACGAAAGGTGGGAGGAACAAGAAAAAAGGTAAATGAGAATTCTCTGTTGGAATCTTAGTGGATTTAATGCCCCTGAGAAGCATAGATACTTAAATAATCAAGTAGCTAGATTACGGATAGAGTTTTTTTTGCAGTTTTGGAAACACTGGTTTTGGAAATTAATGCGAAGGATATATTAAGTAAGCAGTTTAGTAGTTGGAAGCATTTAATTACAAGTACTCTCAGTCTGGTAGGGTTTGACTTTTCTGGAAATCGTCTTTGCAAGTGAGTAAAGTAGATATGGGAGAGCATTTCATTACTGTTTGAGTTATATCAGGTACTTAAACTTGTTTGATTTCAACTATATATAGCCCTAATAAAACAAGTGGAAGGGCAGTGTTTTATGATGAGTTGAGAAGGACTCGGGTGACTGTAGAGCCTGGGATTTTCTTAGGAGATTTTAATGCTATCAAAGATAGCAATGAAGCTTACAATGATCCTTTAGTCAGAGTATTCTCAATTTCATGCAATGGATATTAGATATGAAGCTAACCGATCATAAGGCTATTGGCTCGTGGTTTACTTGGTGGAACAAGCAGTCTAATAATCCTATTGCTAGAAAAATTGACAGAGTTTTAGTTAATGAGAAGTGGTTGGATGTTTTTCCTCAAAGCTTGGTGCAGATTGTTGCCCCAGGGGTTTCTGATCATTGTGGTCTTTATGTTCAAACAAATTCTGGTCTCTTTATGTTACCGAAGCCTTTCAAATTTTTCTTGTTCTGGAGACAAACATCCTTAGTACAGTGGGATTTTGATAGAAGCTTGGCAGGTAGAGGCAGCTGGGGTACCATATTATGTCTTGTACAAGAAGTTAAGGGAATTGAAGGGGAAGCTTAAGAGTTTTAACCGAGCTGTCTACTCTGATATTTCCACTAGAACTCGAGAAGCGGAACAACAACTAGTGCTAATGCAAAATGTTGTATTAGCAGACCCCACAAAGGTTAATTCTCTAGCTGTATTGGAGCAAGAGAGTGTGTGTAAAGAGCTGTAGAGTGCAGAGGAGTCTTTTTATAGACAGAAGTCAAGATTTTAGAGGATAACTCAGGGTGATGCTAATACAGGTTTTTTCCATAGTATGGTTAAGTCAAGAAACCATAGACAAACAATACAAAAGCTAATTTCTAATGATGGAAAAGTGGTAAAAGAAGTGAAGGAGATGGGAAAACTGGATGTGGAGTTTTACAAAGGTTTATTAGGGGCAGCTGATAGTAATGTTCAACCATTCCCAGTTGAGTATTTTTGCAGAGTTGCTGGTAAACAAACTGACAGACGAGGGAGCTGCTTGCTTGACTTTGCTTGTTACTAGAGAGGAAATAAAACATGTCTTCTATAGTATGGGAAGAGATAAAGCACCAGGTCTTGATGGGGTTGTTGCTGAATTTTTTAAGTTGGATTGGGAGGTGGTGGTGTTGATGTGGAGAACACTGTTCTAGAATTCTTCAAAACGGGGATCATGCCTAAACAGGTAAACTCTACAGTTATTGCACTTATCCCTAAGATGCCTGTTATGGAGAAAGTGAAAGATTTTCTGCCTATTTCTTCCTGTAATGTGATTTATAAGGGTATTTCAAAGTTGCTCTAACGTAGACTGTCAATGGTGTTACCCAAACTAATTGGAAGAAGTCAGTCTGCCTTTGTGAAGGGGAGGCTGATTAGTGATAATTTTCTAATGGCAACAGAACTTGTCAAGGATTATCATAGGAGCAGAATTTCTTCTAGGTGTGCACTAAAGATAGATTTGATGAAAGTCCAAGCAAATTCCCTTGCTCGAGTAGTGCAGGCCAAGCAAATTCCCTTCCATCCTCGTTGTAAAAGTCTAGAGATCACGCATATCTACTTTGCAGATGATCTGCTGGTCTTTACGAATGGGACAACTCAGGCATTTTTTGGGATTCAGCAGGTTCTTAACAAGTTCTATGAAGTCTTAGGCCTAAAGTATAATCCACAGAAATGCCAGTTGTTTTGTGTTGGGATCTCGCAAGATAAAGAGCAAGTATTATCTGATCAGACTGGGTTTCCTTTGGGGAAGCTACCTGTTCGATATTTGGGAGTGCCGCTTCTGTCAGGTAAACTGACTTTTGCAGACTGCGAATGCTTGGTGGACAAAATCACAAAAAGGATTTATACATGGCAGGCCAGGTTATTGAGTTACGTAGGTAAATTGCAGTTAATTGATTTGGTTGTTACTAGTTTATCCCAGTATTGGATGTCAGTGTTCCTGCTCCCTGTTAAGGTTCTCAGATTGATTGAAGATGTTTACAATAAATTCTTGTGGGGTGTTGATGGTGATAAAAGGAAGAAGGCCCCTGTTGCGTGGGCAACAGTAGCAATGCTACCACATGAAGGGGGATTAGGCATTAGAGATTTCAAGACTTGGAACAAAGCTTGCGTGATCAGGCATTTGTGGAATATGTTAGCTATGGCTAGCTCTTTGTGGGTTGCTTTGATGCACAAGTATCGAGTTATGGGAAGAATCATATGGTCTCTTCCTGTGAGTTCTGTTAGTACTTGGATGTGGAAGAAGATTCTCAAATGTCGAGGATTGGTGCAGCAACACATATCTGGTATGGGAGATGCATTAGCTTGGGATGGAGATGTTTTAACCAAATACTCAGTCAAGCTTGTGTGGGGGACTATTTAATCTCCTGCTCCACAGGTTCCATGGTACCATGCTGTGTGGGGTAAGCCAATCTTTCCAAAGCATAGTGTGATGGTGTGGCTTGTAGTGTTAGGCAGAATTAAAACAAAAGATAGGTTGTCTGCGTGGGGCATTCATTGTGATACTTGTCGTGTGCTATGTCCTGGAGTTCTGGAGAGCAGAGACCATCTATTTGGAGTTTGTTCGTTTGGTTTTGCAGTTATGAGGCAAGTTCTGCACAAAATTTGTAGGTGGCCTAATTTTGGAGATTGCAGTGCTCAGCTGGTTTGGGCAGTGCAACAGTGGGGGCAAACGACGGATAAAGCTGTCGTTGGAAGGCTTTTGTGGGTCATGGGAGTCGGCTTCATATGGCGAGAAAGGTGTGCCATGCTTTATGGAAACTCAGTAGCTCTCTCCCTAGCTCAAGTTTCGTATAACATTTTGAGAGACTTTGAAGTGTTTTTCGCAAAGTTCCATTCCCATCCAGTTGAGAGTACAAAAAATATTAGGATCATTGTCTTAGTTTGCTGTTTGTAGCTTCCTTAACAAGTTTTGATGGTTTTATGATGTAAGTAGACTCTTTGAGAAGGAGATTTGCGAGTTGCAACTCCCCGGGCTTCAATACAATTTTTGATTAACCAAAAAAAAATGTAGTGCACAAAATGTCCCCCCTTATGGAGAGAGATACCAATAGTTTGGAGTCTTCGAGCTCTAATACCTTTTCAAATGGTGTTGTGG